TTTTTACTTTCAGAACCTTAAATTTCTGGCTGATTCTATACTGTGAGCCCAAGCTTGTTCTGACCTGCATATGTGTCTGTGTGTCTCATGGAGAGCAAGATGGGGTAGGCGAGGAGAGAATTTCCCTGCGGGGATGAATGAAGTATCACTATTCTATTCACTTCCAGCACTATTATCACCCAGGTAGGGAGAGAGCTCAGATGAACGCAGGATGCCCATCTCCTGTGACACCAGCTAGCCCTCCCCTCCCCCCCGCCCCCCCAGCAGTCCTTCAAACGCCCCGCAGCTGTGATGTTCTGCAAATCCAAAGCCAGGCAGTAAAAAGTGCTGATGTGACAAGGTCACTCCAAGAAGGGACAGCTGGTTATACCCACCATCTGCGACACGGAGACAGGGAGACGGACAGGGATTCTGACATCATGCGGCGGCCGTTCTCCAAACTGCTCGGGGTTGATGAAAGGAGCAACCTTACACCGCTCTAAAGCTCCAGCACGATTAAGCGAGCTGGTCGAGTGAATTCGACCGCTACAGCTGAAATGAGAGTGTAATAACCAATACAACTTTGATTTGTAACCAGCCTGGGTAGTTGGCTATCGCCCACATGATATTAACAGTCCCACCTATAGGATGCACTGTCATCCATCATCGCCCGCCATCGATTTGCTCTACAGTGTTCGTAGTGTTTGTGTGCCGCACTCCATCTCGCACTCGGATTTTACACGCTTTAACTGGAGTATCGTATCTCCCTCCATACTCACATTAAGTGTTTTGTCTGTTCACTTCATTTACTTCCCACAGTCTGTGGTCTTCATAGAAATGTTAAAACACTTCGCAACATTTGCAATTCTGAAAAGGCTGGTCCTTTCAAGAAGGTGTTTGAACTGCTACCTTGTTTCCCTTTAAAAATATAAAGCTTTTTTGGGCTACAGGGCTTCATAGTTATGTATTATGCCAAGGGAAGACTAAGTTATAACAGCATGGTTTCCAGCATATAAAAAAACTAATTTTGCCCATAAATGTAGCTTAATTGTATCATGAGCTCAAAACTACCCCGTCGGTGGACTCCTGCAGCCAGGATAATCTCCGCTTACCTCAGGTGTATTACCTCTGACCTTTAGTTTGCCAATTCAGACTCGCGCGAGATACAGCCACCTTGGGGAAGCAGTGGGTTTTATGTATGAGAACAATACTGGGAGGGATGTCTTGTATAAAATATGATTTCTCACTTGGCAGCCTGGGAGGGAGAGAACAACGATGGAAAAACAGAAAGTAAGGCAATGAAAGCGACAGGCACAGAGCCCAGCCCTGAAGTGCCAGGGATGGGAATCTCTAATTGCTGATGTTTCTATCATGTCATTTACCTGCTTCCTCATTTGTAACACATTTATAAACAATATGACCAAGTTATGACCTGCCACACATGGATTTCTCCTGTCTTGTGTTTCTTAATGCATCTTGTTTTTATGTTTCACATATTTCTATTCATTTTTTTTCTTTTTTAAAACAACCTACAAAACAGTTTTTCATTATGCATCATATTGTGGAAGATGACAATGAAAATAATGTGACCTTTCACTTTGAATACAACCAGTTGTTGAGAACTTGAGAAAAATGGCTCCTGAAATTCGAATACACTTCTCCTCTGCCTGTAGGTTGCATCACCGTCTAATGTCGGCCAACTGAAGGCCAACATCCTGGCCATGGTGTGCAGACCTATAAAGCTTCCGCATGGAAGATGTTCATGACCCAGATGTAATTTTGTGCTCTAGTTCGTTTACTTCACCTTGAAATCTACTCTGCTGAGTATTATAATGTTTATAGTACCGAGTCTTGCTCCCTAACTTAATTTAAGTCTCATACTGCTTAGAGGTCTCTACATTTCACAGAGGTCTGTGTCCACATTTTGTTCGTCTGGGCTGAGATGCACCTAGATTGTTGTATTTTGTTGTTGTCTTGTCCTACAACATGGTACTTTCAGCTGGAAGCCTCCCAGGTATCTCCGTTCCTTTGAAGTGTTTTAAGACTGACAGCGGCTCCTTTCGCCTCATCTTTGAAGCTCCGTGAGAAATTGCGGCCTTGGCTTTTACGTCCGACAAAGCCACATGCTCAAAAAGGGTAATCCCCCTCCCCAGTGGAGATGACGCCAAAATGATTTAATCGATGACAGTATTCTCACAGCAGAAGAATAATTATCCTTATCAAGAGTATTGAGCAATTCCTGTTGCGTGTCCTAGCAAAACACAGTATCCTTTTACAAAAAACAAAAGGGCTACTCTGAGAGGACTCTTCTAAGAGCCATTTTCGGTATCAGTAGGAATTTATTTAAACTCAGTAAACCCCAGGCTGCAGCAGAATACTCTAGAAGCATGGGGACTCCAATGACCTACATCTCTCCTGAGCCCAAGTCATTATCAAAACCTTTGCTACGAGATGTAATCTGATGTTTCTTTCATCCGTCCTCCTTGTGTCCTGAGCTAGCCTCACCAGCCCTGCTGGATCGCTGAAGTCAAATTGCCGCTCACAAAAACTTGCAGGGATTTTCTTATCGAGCCATAGATCAATGTTTATATAAGTAAAAAAAAAAAACACACAACACATAAACCAGGAAACATACAGAACAGTGATCACTTGAGGTCATTTTACCTAAATATAATACAAGGATGAGTGATTCAATTTTACGACACGTGAAATAACATGGTTGACAAGTGAGGCAACAAAAAGGGAAACAGATGGCCCTCCCTCCACTGACAAATTGACTGGAATTCAATTGGAAAAAAACTCCACTCCCTTTCACTGCCAGCCGTGTATGGGGAACACGAGCCACAGCCACACGGCTAGCTGCTGGTAGCTAACTGCTAGCTCTGCAGTCTGGCCTTCTAAGCAAATGAGGCCGAATAATATAATCCACTTTGTCATCAGCTCCCCAGCTGCCAGGGACTGTGACTCTAATGGGAGTCGGTGATTTAATATGAGCCTGAAAAATCCTGGAAAATGAAAAGCACAAAAACACACAAATCACAAAACCCACCTTTCCTTTGCCAGGTTTCTAATTTCGGGAAGACATGGTGAAATGTGGCTGAATTACTGAATTAATACTGGAACTGAAAAAAAAACAGTTCTCTGGACATTGATAATGCTGGAGAGTCCTCTGGATTGGCACCACATCCAAAGTGTCCCCTGACTCACACCATGTGTTTCCTGGGATAGGAACCAGGATCCTCCTGACCCCAAACTGTATCAGCAGAATGGAAAATAGATGGCTAGATGGTAGGACATTTAAAAGCTTAAAATTCATATTTACATGAAGAGCACTGAAAGGAATTATGGTTAAACCATATTTTTTCTGGAAATAAACTATATAAAGGGCAACTGCACTTTATTTTCTCTTTGGTGGATGTTAATGATCTGTGGCTGACATTTCTAAATGTTCAGTGAGATCTGTTCCTTGTATCCTTTGATCGTGGGTCTTAAGCCACCACACTGATAGGTCTCACTTACTTGTACCTGTATAGCTGTCTTGGTTAATGGTCTGTTACCGACAATTTCAAGATCCTGGAGGATATCACTAAGAAGATACACCAAGACCATTCCTAAAAGACGACCCAGACTGCATGTACAGTGCCAGTCAAAAGTTTGGACACACCGATCTGCATACCAAGGACAGCAATAGCGACCTGACCTAAACACAGTAGAAATGATGTTGGAGGAGTTTGAGCAGAGAGTGAAGGAAAAGTGGCCAATGAGTGCAGAACATATATGTGGGACCTCTTTCAGGACAGTTGGAAAAGCATCCCAGGAGGCCACCTCATGAAACTGGTGTAGAGGAGACAGTAGGATCAGCCAGTCCCTTTAGCAGATGGGGTTACAGGCCACACTCAAGGGCCCAATGGTGGGATCACTCTGCCGACCACGGGATTCGAACCAGTAACCTTCCCTTAGGGCTGCCCCCTCCCCAACAAATAATGTTTTTGGTCAGTGCATGATTCCATGTATGTTATTTTATAGTTTAGATGTTTTTATAATTATTCTAAAATACAGAGAATAGTACAAATAATCATTTCTGTGGGAGGTGTGTCCACACGTTTGACTGGTACTATATGCAACACGTAATACCACCCATATTTCCTGTTTGACAATGCAGACTTTACATGAAAACATGCAAAAGATACACATTAAATATGTTAGAAACCTACTTCCCAGTTTTTATAAATCGACCTGGAAGCACCCATGCATTACAGAGTGATAAAGCAGCCACTTCACTGCATCCTCACTTAAACGTACACTTTGTGGTCTCTAGTACAGTGACATGTCTCACTGATCTGTGCAGACTGTGTAAATTTTTAAAAACATTTTTAAACTGTGAGTATGATTTAAGCCAACATAAGTCTGCTGCTGCAGTAGACTAATTAATATGTTACACATAATTTATGCATCATTTGCTCGAAAGACTTAAGTGAACAAAAAAATGGCGTATTGGTGTTTTTTTAGTCCAAGATGATAATACATTGTCAAACATATGAAACTTTTACAGGCATGTAAAGTAAGCATGAAGTAATGAGAGCAGTAAGTAATTTTTGATACGCCTCAACCAGGAATGACTTTGATCGAGCTCAAATTGATTTCTAATTAAATTAATTAGAATTTGGTGTTTAAGTGAAAGAGTGCGGAATCGTTTTGCTTCATGAAGATAATTAACCTTGTTCATGCAGTGTATAATTAATTTGGAGCGCATGCCTGAAACGGCTGCTCATTGGAGTAGGCATTCATAAATCAATCTATTAGAATGATCATTTTTTTCTGATTAATTTTATAGAAAGCTTTTCAGGGCTATACTTTGTTTTATGTGTAGGTTAATAGCAGCATTTAAAGGATATGTAAAGCTTAAATATGAAAAAATAAGAAAAATCTTTCCTATCACACCTCTAAAGTGTAGGATGTTTAAGGAATTTGTTCAAAATATTTAATTTTCATATATTCAGTAATGAGGCAGAGTTTTTGCATTGTATGCATTTTAACATTTTATTATAAATAACCCTTCGTAATATAACTTTGTTGTCCTTGCCAACAAACCAAATGAATTTAAAGCCACAAAGCTGAAATAAAGAAAAAAAAAATCTCCATTCATGGTCACCAATCAGAATCAAGGTCACAAAAAACAGAGTGAAAAAAGTGGACATTTTTTTGGATCTGAAATAACACTAAACAGACAGCAGATGTCGGACGGTATCCAGTACCTTTTACATCATGGAAATATTCGCGCTAAAAAATAACGACACAATCATCGAAATTATTCACGTTTTAAAAAATACTGCAGATGAAAGTTGAGTTAACATGTCCTTCTGTATAAATTAGAAAACTATCATAAAGTCTTTTCACCTCGTGGAGCTTTAAAGCACATTTGTGGTACTTTCAGGAATATTATTATTATTATTATTATTTCTATCATTATTACATTTCTTCATTTCAGCCGTTTTTGCCGTTGTCAAAAAGGTTTCAGTGATGCTGGCAGAGACCCACGGCGAGCATTTCTTTGTCCATCTGAAGCAGACCAGGGTCTTCATCTCACACACGTTCACAGAAAGTGACCACAGTATGAAAGACATGCTCCTGAGAATCCATACAGATCTTCAGACAGTAAAAGGTCTGCTTAGAAACGCATGTCATTGCAGGTCGCAGATCGGGGGCTGGGGGGGGGGGGGCAGGGAGCATGATCACAGCTACTGCGTGTGCATCGAAAAAGGCCTTTGGAAGACGGCAATGGGGATCACAAACCATGGAAAGCAAGGACAATTACAGAAAATGGAATGGCAAAAAAAAAACACATTGCACAAAGTCACCTCAAAAGTACCCAAGAACTCGCTCGCATCTCGCCATCGGTTTTCCACACGAATGCAGAATTGAGGTAAACTCCATAGGAGGAGAATGGAGCAGGGATGTCAGGAGGAAGTTCTGTTGTACCCAATGCCTAAATGTTTTTCCAGCCATAGTTCGGCTAGCTGTATTGTGGATGCGTAAGTACTTGCCTTAGACCCAAGGCACATTTTGTATTGCTTTGGATCTAAGTTAGTGTCACAGTGAACTGGATGGTAAATGTGGATGATGCCAGTCTCCTGACCGCGGAACACCTTTAATCCAGAGTTTATGACTTTTGTGAACAAGTCTACATCCTCCAGTCCCCAGCCCTGGATTGACGTGTCAAAGCCACCAGCCATCAGTAGGTCGCTTTTGAATATGCAGGAGATGCCAAAGCCGTAATCTCTCCAGAAGCCACTTTTCTTGGTGAAGATGAAATCGCTGTTGTCAGGGGGGCTGCCCGCATAGACGATTTTAGGGTCATACTGACTGAAGATGATGGGAAAGTAGGCCTGCCTGCCTTGGATCGCGTTGTCCCGGCAACGCTGCAGGAAGTCGGTGGTGAAGATGAGGTCCACGTCACAGAAGAACAACAGGGTGTTATTATCCAGTTGCGACGAACCCATTTGCAGAGCCTGGCCCCTGGAGAAATCGCCAGTCATCGGGATGACTGACAGGTCGGCCTTGGGATACTTGTGGTGATATTCCCTGATCAGCTCTATATGCTTTTCTCTGTCTTGGTTGCTGTCATTATCTACCAAAATCACAGTCAATTTGACGTTCTGACTGGGAATAAGACACATCTTCTCAAAGTTCTTCATGAACCGCACAAAGACGTCATACCTCCCCGTCAGGGGGACGAGGAAGTGGATCTTCTTCTGGCTGCGCTCAAGCATCTCTTTGGTCGACTCCGTATACTGGAAAGGTGAGAAGATCTTCAGGGAGTTGGACAGAAATGAGAAGGACTGTGAGTTGATGGCATCCACTAACTCGGTTACGTCCAGATCCTCAGCCTCAGTGAAGAAAGGTTTGCTGAAGGACTGCTGCAGGTAGGCATGGCGGCGGACGGGCACTGTCACCTTTCTCCCCTTGTGCTTCTTGTAGAGGAGCAGGAGGTCCAGAATGTACTCTGCCCCATGCAAGGGGTCCACCCTCCGATAGCCATACTGTATCTCCTTGAAGTCGATCACGCGCCCACGGGCCTTCGAGTTTTCATTGATCATTTCCATAACCTGGAGCACGGTGTCTTCCAGGGCACCCCGGAGGGCATTCCCCTGGCCCTGCCGGGGCATCTGGTTCTCTCCTGCAGAGTAGATGTGCCGCCCCGTCAGGAAATCCCACTCGATGACGTCGGCTCGGCTGGTGGGCTGGAAGCGGGTGTAAGAGGGCATCGCGCCGAGTTGCTGGTCCTCGCGTCGAGCCTCGGTGTCGCTTAGCTTGCTCATGGCCACGCCTTCGCGGTGCAGCCGGATGGTGCGGTGCCGTAGCTCAGAGATGCGCCGGGCCAGCATGTAGCTGTGCAGCCGGTACTGGTAGGCGGGCTTCTTGTTGGGGTGAAGAGTGATGGCGTTGTGAATCTTGCTGCTGTGGAGCTCTTGGATGAAGCCCTTCTTGTTGTGCTCGTAGTTTTCGTAGAACAGCTGCTGCATCTGCGAGAAGAGCACAGAAATCGTTTGTCGAAACATAACGATTCTAGGAATCTTGATGATTCCTAAAAACATCATTTTATCGTCTATAGAGAGAAGATCGACAAGGTTTTTGTCTGTTTCTTGAATAAGAATGAAACTTGGGCTGGTGCCTTAAACAGAGACTTATGAAGAGCTCGGTATTTATTTTTGACAAGTTTCAATTAGTGCCTTTTAGAGGCTGTTATCACCAACAAGCTTGTCTTCCCACACGACGAGTGAGGAGTTATAGGAGAGAGGACCAGAACAATGGGGAAAATATGCAACAGTACACAGGCTGCTTAATGAACCGCTCAGCAAAATTTATCATGAGTGCTTCTGAAATGCACCACCAACAAACCACTCCAGATGCATTCCGTGGCACATTCTTGGCCTTTTCAAGAAGAGTGCTCATTAGAACTAGCGATAAATTACCCGCGAGGTTTATCTCGGAAAAAGATTTCCGCGAGCAGAACGATAATTGTGTTCAAGATGAGGGTAATTGCCAAAGGGAAGTAAATAAAGGATTTCTTTTGTTACTCAGAAACCAATTACTTCTCTAAGATATTTAGCCCTTGTCTTAATTATTTCAATCAAGTGATTCATTGTGGGTCTATATTCTAAGCAGATGCTTTGTTAATTATGTAAAAAGTTCAAGCAACCAAATGGCATACTGTCAAGATGCATCATTTTATAAGGCCAATATTAGTAAAAAAAAACAAAAAAAAAACAAAAAAAACAAAAAAAAACCAAATGCAAATATATTGATTCAGGTTCAAAACAAGTTATGAATAATGGAATGCAATTGTGCGCAATAGTTCAATCAATGTATTATGGTGCGTAAAACTCCAAAAAGTTAACATTACTAGCTAAATATTTAACATATTATTTAATTAAATCATAAAATTGAAAATATAAGTAGAGGACTGGGGGACATAAACTTTTTATGCAAGCATTGCATTTTGTGACAGAAGTGATCAAAATGTATTTACAGTTTAAGTTGAAGATACTGGAAAAACCTGTTTTCCAATGTCACTACGGGTTTGCATTCTGGCTGACTTCAAAATTTCATGAAAATAATGATGATTAACGATTAAATTGACATTAAACCACTGCTATGCCTATTATACTAATATTATATACATCTTTAGCCTCCCTTAAGTGTCCACAGTTCCCTCTCTCAGTTTTTCTACATGTCTTGCTGAGACTGTTCGCTCCTTGTAAATAATTAGCATAATTCTGTTGAACACCCATATGGAATCGCCATATTTCCATTACTAAATACGCCATCACCCTCTCCGGCAGGCTTTTTTTGTGATTTTCTGCTCTCCTGATTACATTCTGACGTCCAGCTGCTGAGAGAGATGCAGACTTTAGCAATTCCCCGTCCAGCAAATTGCAGCGGGTGGTTCTTCCAAACGCAGTATCCAAAATTACCAGCATTAGCTGCTTGATCGATACTTTTTTATTTTTTGTGTTTCTCTCTCACCCTCGGTTCAAATCTAAACTGCGGTCCGATGGGTAAAGACCTGATCAGCTGTGTAACCAGGTCCGTGCTGATAACTGGCGTGACCCAGTCTGTGATGATAATGACTCAGGATAGGTAAAAAAGAATGCAGGGACTGCATCATTTCGACAGTAAGACGCTGTCACATCTGCCGCATTTCCCTGTACAGATCTGTTAATCTGCTTGGTTGAATCTTAGTGTTGTTCTGAAGCTGAAGATGTCTTTTGACTGCTGTTTCAATACACTAGTGTTTTCTTGAAAAGTCCATCCATCCATCCAGAATAACCTCTTATCCAGTACAAAGTCAGACAGCCTGCAGCCTGTCCCAGGCAGGAAACACTCAGGACTGGATGTGAAAACTACCACATTTAAAATGCAAAGTACACACGTGTGAAAATAGAATATTAGTTTGGATAATTTGTGACTGTACAGTTAATGCAGAAGCCCTATTCTCAGCTGTATTATGCTGTTTGAGTGAAAGTCTTGCATTAATCAAAATTCATTAAACTGCCCATATTTCACATATAACGGTGGAAATGAGAAAACGACTTTAGGAGACACTTCATCAATCTTGGCATTGTTTACCTTTCATTTTATACATGACTGAATCCTTTATTGTTAAGAAATAGAGAACCATGGATTCATTCATTGAAAAAAATGACCAAACACAATTCATTATAATACTATAATCTGTAGGTAATTGGTAGGTAGGTAATTCCCAGTAAAGTTGACAGAAAAGTGCAGAGAGCCACTGACAGGACGCTAGAAAAATGAGTAGAGGGGACACCATCAGCGGCCCAGTTTGCAGGCCCCTCCCACAATCCTCCAGATCTGAAATGACTTAACCTCAGTGCCATTAAACTGCGACATCCTCTCCTAGGGCCATCCCACCCCGGCCATATCCTCCTAACATCTTCAATGTGCTCCTAAACTCTGCATCTCTGCAATTACTCAGGAGCTAAGCCATAGCTACAGAGAGATTCTGCAAACTTCACTTTCGGTAGTTGATTTCAGTCCTAACCACACGATGAATACCTGGCCAAGGTGCCACGGCTCCAGTTCTGGGGTAACGCTCGCCCATTTAGCTGGAGCATAAATGACGTCTTGTGTATAATTTTTTCCCTTCACTTTTCACATGGGCCGGACAGCTCCAGGGCGACGCCGGCCTGTTTGATGCTGACTCAGACATGAACGCTGACTGCTAGTCAACCGTTTGGCCGTGGCCACGCCAGTCCATAAAAACAAAATCACAGCACCTGTGCTCCTCCGAGCAGCGCTCATGCTAAGCTACTATTTTTCCCCGTAGCCGATTCCCTGATGCTTGTGCTAGTCCCTCAGAAAACAGGCACTTTCCCACACGACACAGTATATTACGAGTCTCACCGGTGGCTGTCATTTGCCCAGGGAACTGACTCGGCACATCGATCCCAAGATTTCCAAAAGGGGGGGGGGGGGGGGGCATTGGATCTGTGAATGCTGGCCTCTGTAGCAGCATTGGGGCATGAAAGGCTCATTGTGAGCTGTCGGCCACACCGGATTGGGGGGGGGGGGAATGCGAGAAAACGGCGGGGTGGAAAAGTTATGAACGGCAGATGCTGAGTGAGCCGGGTGCGAGAGTGCTGACGCGAATAACGACTCGGCTCTGACAGATGGAGGTCTATCTTGCGGTGCGGGTGGTAGGGATATAGATGGAGGTCTAACTTGCGGTGCGGGTGGTAGGGATATAGATGGAGGTCTTTCTTGCGGTGCGGGTGGTAGGGATACAGATGGAGGTCTAACTTGCGGTGCGGGTGGTAGGGATATAGATGGAGGTCTATCTTGCGGTGCGGGTGGTGTGGATACAAATGTGGCGACCAGGAGGGACATCCGTTCCGGTGTACGATAACAAAATGACATCATGAGATGTGACTCCATCTAGCAGCTGCACAACACGGCATCAAAAAAAAAATGGGCATCTAAGACCCAGCTGTGGATATATGGTATGTTTAATTACTCAGTTTCTGCTTTAATTTATTCCTGTTCCCACGGCCGTTATGTAAATATGACAAACACGGGTTAGGACCCCACCGGATAAGTGAAAGCCAGCGAATAGCTTCCACGGTCAGCAAATGAACTGGAGTTAACATCCAGGCTGCCTTCACACTGGGGGTCCAGACATTACCAGGCGAACTACAAACCAGATCATGTCAAGTCTCCCTGACCAGAATCCTGGAGCCAGTCAAAAACCCTCAGCCAGAGCAGTAAATGTCTGCTTCTGGACTCTTCCATAAACATTGCGGCATTAATTTCACCCTCCCAGGATAAACCTCACTTGTCCTCCAGTGACACCCAAAGTTCGCCAAGAGGAGTTTTAGCCCTTACGGAGACAGGAAACGATCTCCAGCTAAAGTGCACTACCGTTAGCGCTAAAACGCTACAGCAAACAGTGAGCCTGGTTGTCGTGGGACAGAACTGTCAAGGCGAGAAGGTTCTGAGGCACAAGGCGCGGGGGAAATGCTCTTGTACCCTTAAGTAAAGGGCACAACCTTTGGGGCCATTAGTGATTAGGTGCTCGGGATCAGAAGGTTGATGGCCCAAACGTGCCACTGAGGTATCCTGAGCGAGCCACCACCCCCACAAACTCCCTGGGGGCTAAATAACAGCTGTCTGCTCTTAAGTCACATATGGGTTAAATGCAGAGAATACATTTCATTGTTGTGATGTGCCAACCATGACATTTAATCACTTTCACTGAAGCATTTAGTTAATGTTCTGGTGAATGCATGAGCACGACAGAGAAATACACAGGCGACAGTATGTTACGGAAGCACTGCTTCTCTGTGATATGTGTGTGGATTAATGAAGCAGTTTGTCAAAAGCAGGCTGTAATGTGACCCACACCTACACAAATACAGTACATGATATAGTGACACCACAAGCAATTAAGTGATAAATAATTACTGTAAGAAGTGAAATGCTGTCAGCATGTGAGAGCTAATTACCTCAGAGGTCACAAGGACAACAATAGTTCATGGGGCACGAAATGCTGTAGGGATGAGAGCTTTGGAGAACAGCAAAGGGACACACCATGGTGCATTATGGGAAATGAGCAGGGAGATTTGACTTTTTGAAACTGTGCATCTGCAGCCTGGAGACGATGACAGTCCTCACAATTAATCCTACTGTATTTAGCAGACCCTTCAATCCAAAGCTTTGAAAGCGACACATTTTTTTGAGAAAGCAGGGTCAGACCGTTCCTGGGTTAAAGGCCATCCGATCACAGGCACACGCAAAATACACCTCAGGCAGCCACTGCACCTGCTGAACTGATCCAACTTATCACACCGGTTGAAACTTTAGTTATACTCAGTGCTGGCTACTTATTTTATACAGTTGCTTATACAGTAAAACTGGTCTAAGTCGCCGTCTTGTAACTCGTCAATGTGCACAAGTCGACGCTCAA